TTTTTTTTTTTTTTTTTTACTAAAATGTCTGCGTATAAAATTGGCTGGAGGGAATAGGCATGGTATGTGTTTTGTCATCTAAATTTTACTTTCATGGATAAATGACTAAAGAATGGGCTGTACAAAGCACCAGTCAATATATGCAATAAGGGAAATGTGTAAAAGAGTTCAGAAGTGTGAGATACAGGACATGAGAGTCTTACTTCTTATGATGGAGCTTTTGCTTTCTAGCCTAYATTTCTATGCTCAACAGTTAAAATATTGCTTCTCTTCTTTTTGTAAAAGGCAATCCTTAAARATTTGACCAGCTCCAACAAGGAAGACATCAATCAGATCTCATTTGGTAAATGTTTGGCTCATTGTTAATCTTTGGTATATGTCTGTGAGGAAGGGCTGGGAAGGAGTGTTTTATCCATTCTCTTATGTACGGTGCTCTGTACATGCTCTTGTATTATGGTCATCTCTCTAACATCATATAAGTGTCATTCCATTTTATGACAGAGCAASCAAAAATGCACTGTGGGCATAGAACAAAAGATGCCAAGGCTTTTAGTGTTCTTAGCTCTTTTTAAAATCTGTTCTTTCTTCATAAAGAAGTCTTAAAGAGCCTATAAGAGAACCTATCTCTTGTGGTGGTGAACTCTGGCTCTTCTGTGGAGTGCCCTTTTAGGACAGAAGSCTTTTTGCAATTGATTATGGGCTGCATATTGGATATGTACATTASTATGCTGGAAAAATAAAAGCCTGTTTTGATATTGGTTTGAAATTTTTTGAAAAATGATTGTAATTAGCACAAAACAAAAGTGGCTTGGTGGCAAATACTACTGCTGAAAGATACAGATGCACCCTTTTATGGGAAGTAACCAAGAATTTGTGAGCTCTCCTGAGAATTCAATAAGCAATACACAGTAGCTGGCTAGAATCAGCTAATTAATGGGTTTATTCTATGCTGWTTTTTTACTGCTGAGTTTGTAAGAGAATAATGGAAGGCTCTTTCTCAAATTAAATGCTCTGTGTCTCACTCACTTAAGTTTACCTGTTATTCATGGTTCTCTTTCTTAAACCAAGAGGATGGCCGTCCCTGGGCTTCTCCACTGCAACACATAGAGAGTCTGTCACCTCTGTGCCTTTCCTGTTTTGGGGACACCAGCAGGATAGAGGTGGTGAGTAAAGACTAAAAGTGGTCTTGCTGTTTAAGAAGGCTTCCTGAACATGCAAGATTTTCTTTCTAGTAAGTAGAGAGTTATCTCGTAATTGCTGTTCTGTTTTGCTCAAAATGTTTGAGGTTATTCCTATCAAGAGTCATAGTGATTCTGTACCTGGAAACACCACAAAAGTGTGGCCATGCATAATTCTTACCTAATTGTGTTTCTAGGCTATATCTCATTATGATTAATTAGCATGCTTTTTAGACAAGAAGGAAAATGTTTTTTTTAATAATACAGTAAGCAAACTACCAACATACCAATGTTTAGTGAACTGTTATACCAACATTTAGTGAACTGTCAGTGGTGGTGGTGGTTTTCAGATTTAAGAATTATCACATTAAGAAATCGTATTCAGATGCAATCCTTTTATTCCTATCTTGCTTCATAAAGCTGGACTMATGTTTATATGGTTTTCAGTCTTCAAGCCAAGGCAGCCATCCAGTTGTTCTCATTCAAACTGAAAGATTTCCTTGTAAGTCCATTGCAGTATTTGCTTATTCTAGGCTATTTCAATATCATTGTTAAGCAAGCAAGAGAGCATCTCTTCCTCCAGCTGGTTGTATCCAGGCTTGGCCTGGCTGCAAGGAGCAGAGATTGGAGTATCCAGGAGTCCCAAAGTTTCTGCAGTGCAGTGTTTAGCACCTCACCTAGGGCAGGGCTCGGTTACAGTTTGTGGTAGATCCCTGTYCAAGAAGAGAGCAAGAATTGTACGAGCTCTTCCTCTTTCATGGCTTCCTGAGTGCATTCCTACCTCTCTGATTTCTGCTTCCCCAGCTCCTGACGCCTTGTATATATCTGTATCCCAGCTGAGACTCATTGGCAGAAAAATGCAATCTGAGCTTGCCTTTCAGCTTTCCACATAGTTCCCAGGGGCCTATATGCCTTGCAGGCAAAAAACCTTTTGTGCTTATTGCCAATACAGATATTTTCATCCTGTTTATGGATACATCAACACTGAAAGTGCTGAGACACACAAGCTGGTGCAGCATGAGAAAGTCTGGAACAAAGAATGGTGGGAAGCACAGCGGATGTATCCATGCTTGCTTTCTAGAACRCTGCTTAGTCTAAGGAACAGCATGTGTGCAAACACAGTCAAATGGCCTCTAGATCTGAGCCCTCATCTCTGCACATCATCACACAGACTAACCATTCAATCTACATCCTGGAGTCAGACTTTTGAGTCCTTGATGAGGGAAAATTCTCATTGGAGTCTGGCAGAAGGAACATATMATTTTGTTCAAAAACACTGAATATGCAGTAGCAGCTGTGAGTTGTCAAATCCAGCATAGGATTATACCSCACATCATATGCTTCAGCACTTTATACAGACTATGTTTAAATTAATTTTTAATTAGCTCATTATACAGATAGAAGATCTGCTCATCTCAAGTTTTATAACCACAACTTTGCCTGCAGGTCTCTCTATCAGACAGTTGCATGATGGCAGCACCCAACTTCAGCTGGAAGTGCTCAMACCCTGCAGCAACGAGACTAATATTAAAAACCCTGATAGTATCAGGCACCACACTCCATTATATCACGACTGCATTTCCATCTTCATGCCCAGTCTTCTTATACATTATAAAGAGCTTGTGGAGGGCAGGGGCTCATGACAGCTGGAAAACCTACATGCCACAGAGAGCCAAAGATATCTGACTGTGCATAATGGTGCTGCCCATAATCTTGGCATGGGTTTTGATGATTAACTGCAAGGTAAGCCCACCCAAAGTGATTCATATGAATTGTTGGTCTGGAAATCTCAAACCACAGACCTCCCTCTTCTGGCTGGTGAAGATTTTCTAGACACACATGCCTGATGAAATATGATGGTACCAGTTGCCTGTAATAGTATTACTTTGGATATACCTTCTCTCCTCTTTTCCAAATCTGTTCCCTATTGTGAGATACACTGCAGATGTGTGTAGCTTGAAACATGAATAGAAGTGATAGAGAAAGTACTAATTTTACAGATCTGGAATTAGGATACCTCTAAAGCTAYTTGTTTAGGTTTGTACAGGAAGTGTGTTGCACAATGAGGAACAGGCCACAGATCATGTAAGGTCCAAGTATTGTGCTTAACCAGAGATCATCCTAACCTCCCTGGTATCTGCATGTTAACAGTATTTCCGTTAAATGTTTTTAGTCACATTGACATATTTTCCTTGGAGCTTCCAAACTCCATCAGTGTAACAAGCTGATAACTGACCACGTTATAATGAGATTATTCAGAAAATTTATTTTGTCTTCTTGTTTCTTCCTTCCATTTGCTAGCATAAATTCCCTCAGAAAAGTAATTTCCATRAGATCAGGAGCTGGACATTTTATTTGTTTCAGTACAATTTTTTTAAGGATAGCTRCACTGCAGGAGACTGGCTTCACACTCATCAGACAGAAGCAAAGGCTGTCAGCTTGACACAAACTGTAAACTTGACTCAAAAATTCTTGTGAAAGTGTATGATTTGTTCTTTATGCTACAGCAAATCTTGATGGAAGGATATTCATTCTCAATTTGGTTTCTATGAAATCCTGTTCTTGGCCCATGTGGAACCATACTACACTTCAGTGACAAGAAGTGATCCAGCTGCACAGACTCCTTAAGCTATTGTCCAGCCATTCACACCCCTGGAATTTCATAATAAATGAAATCAACTGAATGCATGGGGGGGTTAGACAATGAACAGACCTGAATGAGTGGTGAAACCAGTGACTCATCTCAGTCTCTAATTTCATTCCTGTGCAGATTGTTTATCTAGGAAGAACARGGCAGGGAATGTGTGAGGATATATGTGCTGTTTATTTAGAGTTGTAGTAGAAAGTTAAATCCTAAGCAGAAGCTCTGCTCCAAAGCAGAGACAGAGAGCAACTGATTTGCTATAGGGCTATAATGAATTTATTTATTTTAATGACATTTCTTGTCTTTTATCTGTAACAAAAGATGATAGTGACTTTCTTCAAAGTCCATCTGTTTGAGATCCTTCATTGTTATTGATTTCCATTCAACTCCTTCCAGCTTCTCTATGAGTTAATGGCATTCAAGGGCCAAAGCTTGGTGATATATTTGCTGTGGTTTTATCAGTGCTTACAAAGCCTCTCACTTCTCTTGTTCCTGATTGTGGTGAGCTCRAGGATGGAAAACTAAGCATCACTGAAGAATTTCAATATCCTATTTCACTGCAAACTCACATTAAATTTGCTATTCTCTTTGAAGTCAGCAGAAAAGCCCTGACTGACATCAACTGAGTATCTGGTTCTGTGTTTCTGACAACATTACTGCTTGTCTGGTGTAGCAGTCCCTGTGGCCGCTGAGAGTGAAAAGTAGCTGAGGCAGTTTCTCAGAGGCTGGGAATACTGAAAACCCAGATAATTCACCCTCTAACTAACCTGGCATCCCCTTTGCCTGTTCTTTTCAACTTGTGCTGTTAGTGTCACTGTCACTGTGTCATGGGTCTGTACTGAAYTGTCAGTAAGGATACAAGCGAGGGTGTGGAGGGCAGTGTTGGGCATGAAACAAGGAGTAAGCAAGCATTTTGCTTGCCCAAGAGTGGGAGTGTTTTCAATGAGCCTGGCTATTTCTCTGAATATAGATGTTGCAGAGGATTTTCTGTAAGAGACAGGAATCCTGCCTCCAAAAATAACTTGTGCCTGATCTTTCAAAACCCTTCGTAATGTACCTTGCCAGTTATATGTTGCTGAGCAGGAAGGTTGAGAGGATTATTTCAGCTGTGGCAATCAGTTTACACCTTGAACCACRAGATCGGATTACTTTTGGTATTTAATTTTGAAATGTTTCCCCCAGATGTATGGTACCTTTGCATGGTTCCCTGATGAATTTAATTTTGTTATTTCCTGCTTTTATTTCTAAGTTTTTTCAGGTCCTCTGTGTTATTTCTCTGTCTTTGCYTATGTTTGCAACACTTCCTAATTTAGCATATTCTGCAAATTTAATTGCTGTATCAACTTTTTATATCACCTGATTAGTGGTTTTTAAATATTATTGAATATCACTTGAGTTTAAAATAGTCTCTGCAAATTTCCCAAGGGGCGGTTCTCTCAAATCATTTGTGCATGGTTAGTGTATATGACACAGTGGATGTGCATAAGACCACTCAACAGAAATTGCTGACATCAATTAATGTTTTCTTTGCTCTGAAAGATTTAGTCTATAGACATCTCTRAGGTGTGAAATGGGATAAATAGGGCCATGGTTCTGCAATAGTTCATGTGAGTTTTCTACAGGAAGCATCTAGCAAAAGTGAATTTTAAAGCAGTCACAAACACACTTCATGTCGTAGGTGAAAAAGAAGGGATAGAATACAATAGGGAAAGAAGACTCATAGTCCAAGCAAATCTCATAGTTCTTTTAAGGATCAGGAATAGTGAAAGTGGTGGTAAGGAAGAGGTTCAAGGGCAGTCCTTTGTAGTGCTCTAAAATGATATTTGAATTTGATTTATAAGTGGTAACTAAGGAGCTGAAAAATAAAARCATGAAAAGAGAAAAAATACATGAGATGGCCATTTCAAAGAAAATGGAGTAAGAAAGCTGTGAGACCAAAAAAAAAGAGAGATATGTTGATGTAGCTGCGGCAGCAGATGACTAATGTATGAACTCTGAGCAGTAGAATAAAGAAAAGGCTGAATTTTTAATTTTTTTAGATCCAGTTTTATGCTAGCATCTAAACAAATGTAGTTGAATATTTCAGGTTACTTTCCATTAAATCATTTACTAACGTCTATCATATATAGTTTTGGGTTTGTTTTTTTTTTTTTTTTTTAATTTAGCTATATGGCAGTTTAGTAAGAGTTTAACAAGTTCCTTATGCAACCTCTTTGTTCGTGCTTCATGCAACCTCATAGATGTTGGAGATTATTTTTTCCTGTGCCTGCTTGATTTCRGTGTAGATTCTTTACTGGGCTGGCACATTTCTTTGAATTGCTTGCTCTTCTTTGCCTTCTTTACCTTTGGTGGTTTCCTATATTTTTAATTAAGGAGAAAGAACATGGTATACTTTGTTCACTATGTTTCTTTTTACACAAGTCATCTCTTACATTTGAAGAGGAATTTTTTTATTTAGTGATTTTTTATAGTGTTATTTAATAGCTAAATCTTCACTATGGTGGATTGTATTTTTCAGTTAYATTTATATATTACTTTATATTTTAGATACTTTATTTAGCCTAATTGTGAAGCAGGTGCTAGGTGCTGCACAAAAGCAAAGAGAAAGTGTGGGCTTTGTCCCAGTGAATTTGCAGTTTATTGTCTGTTGTGCTGTTCCCATGTTTGTAACTGATAGCATTATATTTTAAGCATTGTTAGTGTTAAAAARCATAGTCTTCACCACACTGGAGATTTTAATGAATAGGCTTTGGCAGAATGAAACTGGAGAGGTTAGTTGGGTTTCCTGATTGTGTTTTTTTAGAGCAAAACCTAGTTAACAAGACCACAGAAAAGTGATGGTCAGATAGTATTTAAACCAGAAATGATGCTGTTTTTACAAGAGCTTGTCATAACGCCCAAAGCTTTTCATGAGGGATATGCAGGATTTCCATATTCAAACGTCAGGAATCTAGCCTGCATGTGTGAGCTAGGTCCAGGCTCCTCATATACTGAATTAAGAGGGGTAGGTACCCACTTTTTCATTGTCCTCTGGAAGTTCCCCTTCCTCATAAACCCTCCTAGCCAAGAGACCTCTAGGAAGAGGGCATTGCTGTCCCATTGTGCAGCCTCACTGCTGTCTGCAAGCAGGGGTCTGCACAGGCAGAGTTTCAGCAGTGAACATTTATGTGGGGCTTTTTTTTGAGTTATATCACTAAATCCAGTACAGATGTCCACATCTGAAACCACAGCTATGCACAGGAATCAKTGTTATTGTGAGGGGGCAGTGGGCAGAGGAGATCAGCTGGTCTTTTATACAGAAGAGAGTCTGCATTGAAGGGGGTCAGATCAGGAGCTTGACTGTAAATGAAAGCCCTGCCCTCACTAGGCTGCACTCCAGTGGGGAAAAAAGAAAAGGATCAGTGCAGTTCTCTGGTAACCTCACTTATTAGGCAATTTTAATAGAGCTGTAATAAGCTCCCTTCAAGCCAGAACTTGGGGAAGGCCTTAGAAATGCTCGGCTGCCATGTGGCTTGTAACAAATATCACAAAGTATTGATTTATTCCATAATGACTCCCTGCCATGTGTTATGTAAATAACAACGTTTGATAGAGTGTGTGGTTCTCTGTGCTGTAATTCAGAGGTCTTGGGAAGGTCTTGAGTCAAAAGATGAAAGGCCAACTGTCTCCAGTTGTCCTCGGGATGTGTGCATGACACTGCAGCTGCACACATACGCACCAAGCCCTTCCCTTTTGAGTGCATTTAATAATTATGATTTTAATGTTCTATCTGGTTCTGATCTGGCTGGGTATAATCTTCTAATTACATAGCTTTGAGTTTTCTCAAATTGTCTCTAACACTGTTAGTAATTCTCTACCAGTAAAACTACATTCACAGTGCTTTCATTGTATGTGCTTATATCTCTACAGATTTAARCTAGAAAAAATCCATGCAGTTTGAAAACACCGCTAATTGTACTTCAGCTTGTAGGTTGCAGAGCAGCTTCATTCTGTTTTCCCACAGCCAAGAGAAGGCCTCAAGGCCAAAATGTCACCTCAGATTTCTTTTGATCTCAACTTATATTTTATTAACCCTTTTAACTTCACTGAGGGTGTGCAAGGAAACATGTATATTCCCTTTCAAATAAACCCAGCATTGTCCTTACATCTTGCGTGCAAATGTATGGACAGTTTTTCGTACAAAGAATTATTTAGATGTAATCTATATGCCTTGTGAGTTGYAGATAAGAAGGGGTGGGCAGCATTTATTCAGCAATGTTTATGATTTATTTCCCTTTTATTTTCTCTCTTTAACTCCATCCAAAATATTTCTGAGAGTCTTAGTGAAATATAATACTAGAAGCCTTTAATGGCACCTTTTCATCTCACAATTGCAGAGTGCTTTTCAGGGCTTAATTAAATTTTACAGCATGCCTTTCAGGTGAATGTAATTTGAATGCATCCATTCCTGTTTGTGAGGAAACTGAGGCAGGGAGTGGTGATTAGCTCGAGGCTGTGAGCCAAATAAAATGTCAGAGTAAGAATTATGGCCCAAGAGATTTGATTAGGAGATTTGATAATTTCGGCAAAATTTGGTTCTTAAAAATTTCATCAAACAGACAACACAAATGATGGCTGCCTGAATGGTGGAGGAGGCAAATAGCTTCTCCAGGCTGTTCCTTTCCTTAGCCTTTGCGATGACTAGTCCTTTATGCTTCAGTCCAGTGTTGGCCTCACCAGTCTTTGGGCATGCCGGATGCTTGCTCAGCCCTCCAACATGGTCARGACAAAAGCAGTGGGTGGTTACACCCTGCCTCTGCCATCTTCTCAGCAAATGGTTCAAGCCTTTCACCCCTTTCTGCTGTGGGGCCTGTTAGGGTGGGATCTGAATGCACCCATCCACTGCTGCAGCCATGTTCTTCTATGAGGTAAACGCTGTCATGTTAGTTGCAAAAAGCCTGAAGCTGTTTGCCTGGTGGTCAAGGGCGAACTTTTCATCCATCTCCTCACTGGAAAGTATGGAAAGCAGTCTGTCCTCTTCTGGGGGTAAGCAGGAAGAAGGGGAGAAAGCTGCTGAGAGAMAAGTGTTCATTTACTCTGCACATGTATCTTACAAACGTCCTCTATAGATTTCGTCATCAGCAGTTACTACCCAAACATAGCTACTGATGTTGTAGGATAGTTGTAGGAGTGTTGCTCCCCCAGTGTGTTGCTATCTGCAGAGGGGATAGCATTTTCCAGCCTGTCTGACTGGCCTAGAACTCATGTATGCTGCAATTTAAAAAGTGGGGTGTGGCCATTTCTTTGAAGGTATGTGAAAYAAGACTGAAATCAAGCACATGAGAGATCCCACAGATAGAGTAYGGAGGCTGAGAGCACTCTTTCTACCAGCTATCTTTGTAAGAAAAGGTCATCTGGCTGTAAGACAGGCTCAAAACAAACAGTTYAGTATTTTTAATGAGTTAAGGAATCAGTCTTTGGGAAATTCATTCTCTCAGTAGAGAAGCCAAAGATTGAATGATGTCTCTGTGTCACCAGACWCCTATCTGAGAAGAAAGAGAGGATATTCGTAGTCCTCTGCTGCAGCCTCAGCCCTCAGTGAGCAAGTGCTACTACATCTGGGCTTTGCAGAGCCTGAGCAGGACATAGCTACTACAATGTCTGACTCTAGATCCTTCACGTCGAGTGCGCAATGTGTGCACAGTGTGTTTCCAGTGTGCTGTGACAGTCAGTCAGTAGCCACTAAACACTTATAATGAGGTCAAAGAGTTTTTTGTTTCCATTGTTGTCAGCCCAGTGTCTTAAAAGTACTTGCCTGGGAGTGAAATGGCTCCTCACAGTTCTGCAGAGGCTAATCTTCCATTGCTGTATTATGAAAAAGGCACTGCATGGTTTGTCTTCTTATCAGAATAGTATGATCAGAGTACAAAYGAGGTCAGACAATTGCTGAACTGGTCTTGCCGCTTAGTGCTGATCATCTTTCTAATACCTTTCTTTTCTCCTCTGTGCTGACCTCCTTTAATAGAGAAGTCAGCAGCTGTGGTCATGTGCAGGGGACATACTTTGACAGCAACAGGACTCAATGACAGACTCTGGAATATATCATTTCTGAAGCATCATCTGGGTTTATTGCTACCTCTTCTGGAGCTGTATTGAAGGTTGAGGGCCTTGTGTCTTGTTCTTCTTTTCATCTTATTTCCATTACACCAGCATTGCACAGGGATCTTAAGGTATGTGTAGGAAAATGGACCYTGGGGACAAACTTTAATTCAGGGCTAGAAACACAGCTTTCTTTAATTTACAAGTGCTTGGTTRTGTGTAAATCTGTTTCACTACCCAAACTTCACATCAAAGTATTTGAGCTGTGCTGTACTTGATGAGTGCAAGAGTGCATGCTTGTCAGTGCATAAGTGAGGCAGAAATTCCTTTGGGAACAGGGAGACAGAGACCTGAACACACRCACCTTAGAGGATTTGCTGCACATTTGGTAACAGAAAGTTTTGGGGKTTTCACATTATTGATTTTCCTCTAGATGAAAATCTCTGCAACAAATGCCATTTTGAATGTCATTTATGACTGAGGCTGTTTCACAAGGGTGCCTAGGCTCCTTTGAAACTTCTWTGTGGGGTTGAGACTTAGGAGACTCCAGCCCACGAGGATGGAGTGCAGAAAGTGCCCAGAAGCCTAATTTGCCTCTCACAGAGCACAGACCACTCCCATTGACCCCCCTGCTTGAATGCCTCTGCTGTCAGAAGAGAAGTCAGTCATGTRTATCAGGAGGAATTTCTGCTGATCACACACGGAAGAGCAAGAGAAATTCCCTGCGAGTGGAGAGAGTGTCCTCAAGATCAGGATGCATCCCTGCCCTTCAATGAGAATAATTCCAGGGGGGTGTTAAAAGTGTTTAGTTTTCAGGAAGATTAGCTGCACCTTTCATTTGTCCTTTGAAGATTATTTTTGCTCTGTGAAGGGTTTTAAAAAATGGCAAACCAGTACAAGCACAAACAGAAAAAGAAAAAARAAARGAAACACAAGGTTATGGGAAGAAGYTGAGATTCTATCTGTTTTATTGAATGATCCTGGAATACAGTAACAAGGGGACAATCGTGCGCTTAATCATCTCACTCTTACAAGTGGAAATGATGCTTGACAACAGAATGTACTGATATGAATGTAAGAGTTGGGGAAAGGAAAAAAACCTAAGGAACAAAACAAGCATAATATGTAAACAAAATTCTGCTAGGAGTATTTGTAGTGACAGATGCTTTGGTAGATAGGGCAAAAAATATATTCCTTTCTCCTAAAGGGAAATAGGTGGAAGTCCATCAAATAAACTTTGTCCTGGCATATTTTATTTTTGCATAGAGGAAAAGGAAAAGATCGTTTTTGATGTCAGATTATTTTTTCTACTGTTTTTTCCCCTCTCTGCCATACCAGAAAAAAAGATCAGGGAAGATAAGCCAAGCAAAAGAAAAAAAAAAAGGAGGTGGGGAAGGGGGAAAAAAAAAAGGTTACTCTGAGTATCAGAGAGGGGGCTAATTGTCAAGGTTATATCTCCACAGATGATTGATGTGAGGCTGGGTTTTTCTGTCAGCCTGTCACAAAGCAGGAATGTTTAATGTTCTCATTATTGGTTACGCTGTTGTGTATATTTCTCTGTCAGCACTGCGGACCCATCTGAACTGCCAAGGCACTTCAAAGCCCTGCAGGTCATTTATCATCCTCCTGACGCTGCGAATGTTCAGCCTCAGCTGAGTGCCAGGGATTTGTTATGACTTGAGAGCCAGCTGACAGACAGGTCTGCTGCAAAAAGGATTCCTTTTTGTCACACTGCGAAAACATCAATGTTCCTATAATGGCCTACAACTGTCAAAGGGGACTGCCACCTGACAGTTGTGTGGTCTCACTAATTTGCAGCCCGGTGACTTGTTTCCTTGAGTTTAGATTCAGTTACGGTGTCACATGCAAACAGGTCACCATCTGTCGTCCTGTGCCAGGGGGCACATGGTAGGGGGTGGAGAGAGAAAGAGAGAGAGAGAAGGAGGAAAAGATGAAGTGGCAAACTGGGGGTGGGGGAGAGGCAAGAGGAAAATAAAAACGGCCATGCAAATCAGAGCTGCATCTTTATTTCAGATTGCTGTTTCCTGAGTGTTCCTAGCCCACCGCAATGTGAATCTCTGAAAGTTGTGTTGAAAATTGAGGCAGGGAAAGAAAGGACCTTGCAAAGAGCCAGAGCTGGGAGGGGCGGGGGTGGGGGGGAGGGAAAGAGAGGGGGAGAGAGAGAGAGAGAGAGAAATATCAGGGCTTTGTTTCCTTTCCCAGGCCATGACATGATTAATCGTTTTCTTCTGATCTAATTTTGGAACATGAAAAACAGCACATTTGTCTTGAAGAAAAATGATGTGCCGTACTGCGCAGATGGAAATTTCGAGCAATGAAAAAGATTAAAGTGAAATTCCACTCCTTAGACCTAATCATGAGTTGTAGATTATTCTGTCGTTCTAACCAGATGGTAGGCTTGATTCCACAACCCCCTTCTTATATTAATGAATACTAGACTGTTATATTTGACTTAGGTAAGTGAAATGTCTATCAAGCCTAATGGACTGCCAGCCAGCATAACACATGTTGTACCACTGAGGGTCCTTGCTGCATTTTTCATGTTTTATACTAATGTAGAACATTTTGTTTCCTACTGTTTTCCATCATTGTCACTGTTTGCTAAATATTTTCACATGTAGGGGGAAAAAAAAGTAAAAAACTTGTGTCCAGAGCTAATTTCCTCACGTTGGTCACAGCTATAATTCTACAAGTAAAACAGTCACCCGAAGCAATGCATACAAGAACTCAATAGTAACTTGATTAAGTTCCCAGTCAACAAGACTGCACTAGGCTGTATGTTAACAAACCTAATTATAGGCAGCATGGTGATAAATTGTGCAGGGTGCATGTAGCACATCTCTGAGGTCATGTCTAGAAAAGAAGTTTTGCCCCAGGGGACAGGGATGGGGTGTCATTTCTAAATAAAGTAAATGCAGGTTCACTGATGTTTCCCATTGGGCTGCCTTCCGCTTTCTGACAAATGTTTTTCTAGCGAGGGTGTCCCAAGAGATCCTTGCGAGAACGGAAGAGTGGAGGAGGAGAGGAATGAGAGGCTGGGGGATTCTCTTTAACCTTTCCAAGTGCGCAGTCCTGTGACYGCCACGTAGCTTTACCATGCTTGGACTTGTCAGAGCCAGGGGTAATGCTAATCATGTGTTGGGATGGGTGCCACAGCTTGAGCTTAGACACTGTGGTACTTGTTACATGTGCTGAATGTGAGAGTGGGATGGAACCTCTTCCTTGCATGGAAAGCTAAAGGTAAAAATCTCTGGTTTCTCCTGTCAGAAGGACAACAGTTGGGCCTTTGTGCCTGAGTGCCTGCCCCTGGTTCTGTCGGGGAGCATGCTCCCAGGTAGAGGAAGCGTGCGTGCACAGTGCTAATTTTAGACATTGAAAGAATCAACAGGATGCACGGATTGAGTTACTCTCTGCCTAGGAGAGAACAAGTCCAGAAACTTGAGTAAGCAGTCAAGAGTTGTCCAAATCTGGATTTACTGAAGTATGACAGATACAGTAAAGTTATAAAAGTTCATGTAGGCTGAGCAAAGGAAAGCAAAGCACCAAAGTACACCTCCTAACTGAGAAACTAGGAAATTTACACTTGCATCTACGTATCTTTTTGATAAAGGAATGAATTTAAAGCTGACATCATCACTTTAGTGAGTCTATTTTAAAACAGTTTCTTCAGGATCCTGAACATTGGCAGACATACCTTACCCAGTGAAGTTACCATTGATTTTAAGTGCTGAATAAGTACTCTTAGACTGTGTCATAGCATAAGCTCTGAAAAGCCCTCCAGTGTGAGTACCCTGCACTCGGGACACTCATTGTTGATGATTTTCCCTTTTTCTCRCATACATAGCATGTTTTTAAAGAATGAATTAAGGAAGGCCTAARYAGAATATTCATTGTATCTTGCCCACACTAAAAGAAAATAAACTRGA